TATAGTCTCCCTTAAGTAGATATAATATGGGGTATATGGGGTTCTTATACTAATAATAATACCCAAAACCATATTCTATCTACCTAAGGGGACTATAGGTGTTGCAGCTAGGTAGGCACAATGTTGGTATTAGAGGGTTTAGGGTTTAAGGTTTACGGTTAAAGTTTGAGGGTTTAGGGCTTAGGGTTTAGGGCTTGGGGTTTAGGGTTTAGGGTTTAGGGGTTATATAGGGACTGTATAACAAGGGTTGTATAGGGTCTATATGAGCTACAACCAATATTTCCCCGTATAACCAATGGACATGGGTTCTTTGTTCAGGAATATAGTAGGGACTATGCTAAAATACAAGAGTGTGCCCTATGTCCACCCGTAGTTGTCCATTGCAAAGGCGAATATTGACAGTAGCTCCTATCCAAGATGTTCGTGCTTTCTACAAGAATAATAGCGTGTAAGAAGACTACAGGACATAATCGGTTAATATCGGCTACCACTGAGTTTTTCCCTAACTAGAGTTTGCCGTTTCCCTTTCTGGGGCGCAGTGCAGCCAGTGCGTTTTGGGGGTGTGTCGATGGAGGAGTATCAATGTTGTGAAATACCCAGTGCGAATCTCATGCATGGGTTAATTACAACAATTAGCTGTTGAACCTCAGGATTGAAGTCAAAGTCTGGCTTCTGTTCACCCTAAACCAGCAACCCTAAACCCTCAACCCTAGACCCTACATCCACGGGTAGCTGGCCAAACTTGCGAAAAATGTCAACAGTCGTGACTGCAAGTCGTCCCCATCCTCTTTCCACATCAGTTTCTTCAAGCCCCTCACAAACCTCCAACAGGCAAACCCCCATATCCACACACCACAAACGTTAAACACCCGAAGTCAAAGGGTTTTGGGCCTAATATCCTAAACTTAACCCGCTACCCGAAGGCTCCAGACACCTACATGGGGCATGCCTGAGCCTACGAGTACCTGCGTAGGACGCTTTCAGGCCTCAAGACCCCACGCATACATGCATATGTATATCTATGAGCATCTCTCAAAACAAGCCCTACCCCTTCAAGTCCCTACATATCGCTTGGGGTCCCTTTGGGCCCCACTTTGGAGAAACTCCCATATCCCAACCCTTTGCCTAATCCATAAGCACTACCTGGATCCCTTAGATTCACACCCGGCCTGCTGGGGGGAGATGGTAAAGGATGCCGGGCCTGGAGTCTGAGGCCAGGATTGGGTTCACGGTTCACGGTTTGGGGATTAGGTTTAGGGTCTGGGCTTTAGGGTTTAGGGTTCGGGATTTAGGGTTTAGGGCGTAGAGTGACGTTATGGAGAAGATGCATATGGTGGCTGCAAAATATCCCACATCACGTTGGCATTCTAGAATGCACGAATTTCAGGTTTAGGGCGAACTTTGGGTCCTGCACCATGATTAACATTAACCGCAAGGATCTACACGGGTTGGAAGTGATGTTTATCCGAACCCCTGGGAGGATCTAAAGATTAGATCCCAATATAGACCCCTGATAACCCCAATATAATCTTTGTATGATTTCCCACATGGTTCTAGGGAATCTAATGTTTAGATCTCTTTGGGGGCCTGGGTAAGTATTTCCAGCTTAGGTGGAACCACTACTTAGAACTGCATGGCCCGTGTATATGTTGTGATCTGGGGGGGCGTCCGGGTCTGTGATACACATCTGTTTGCGTGCCTTTGTCTGGTTATACTGCTTGGGAGTGTGGCCTGGGCGTTCAAAGCTTGAGGTTCAAATACTAATAATGATAATAGTAATAGTAACAATGGTAAGAATAGCAATAACGGTAATCATAGTAGGACAGTAAATTAGTTATATAAAGGGTTAAGTTTGAGACTGCTATGCAAAGCCTGTCGATCCGGAAACCGTCAGCAACATGTTCAAACCCCTATTGGTCCAAGTGCCCAAGTTCACGCCCCAAGTATCTATGTCAGAACCCTCCAGGGCTAAGAGGTTTGTACTCCATGTAGAAAGTTCGGCGTCTTCGGAACCCAACAAGCCCTCTTCGGCAGGAGCATGCTTGTGGTGGCCAGGATTATTCTACATCCTGAATCTGACTTGCAGCTAGGCGCGCTTGAAATCTGGGGTCCAGGCCCAAGAAACTCATTTTTGTTCCAAGGAGGCTATCTGTTGGAAGGCCTGCATGGGGACCAATACGGTTTCTTTTCGAACAGCAATAATACGCACTGAAATCAAGTAAACTCATTGTTTCTGTCGGATTTCCCTCTGGGTGTTACACGCATCTGTTCAGATAAGCAGCCCGAAAAAATGATAACCTAGGAAAACGATACTCACATATCTTTAAACGCACATGGATCCTCTTCAAGGTAAGTTTCTAGAAGCTACAAGTCGCGCATAGCAGGAAATCTCTGACGGGAAGATTTCGCCAGTTTAAACTTACAAAAGAGTAAACATCATGCCAATCAAGGAAACCGCGCTGGTGCCAATCAGGGAAACCCCAATTCTGCTCGAATGTCCCCGGTTTCGTTTCCCCGTGTTGCAAGCACTTGTGACATCTCCCACAATTCCTTCTCCTGACCGTGTAATCCCGCAGAAGCCTCCCTGATTCATTCTTAAGTAACATCCCAGTGATGGGCTCCCCTTTGTCAAAATAATCAGTCTTTGCCCCTGAGGAAATGCTAGTCTTGCAGGATTTTGTGTCTACAAGGAGTATCTGAAAAATGCATCAAGAAACGCCCTAAACCCTGAGCGCCACGCTCATCATGATGGCGCGGGAGAAAAGCTTGTTGGCTATAGGAGACGCGCAGAGCCTGCGTGCGGGGGAGACTTCTAGATTGTTGCGAGGCATCGCCTCCGCTAGTTCCATTAACAAAAAGCTGCAGAAGGTCTAGCCACTGTGTCAGAACCATTATGGGCATACAGCGGCATACATGTTCTAATGGCAATGGCAGCCATCACAGGAAGATGCGTAGCTTGTCTCTTTTGGGTTTTGTAGTAATGCCACTTTAATTAAACCCTACTTAAATCTGGTGCCATTCTAGATACGTGTTCCATGCAGGCATGGCTCTTGAGATCATCTCCGAGGCGAGGTGGAATGTAGGTCCCGTTGGTAGGAAGTAAAGGGTTATCTTGGAGGTTTAAAATAGGGATAATGGAGAAGAAAATGAGAAACTACTATATTATCATATTGTATATGGCCACGCCTGGGTCAGGTGTTCATGGGTTGAGAGTTCAAGGTTCAGGTTCAGGGTGTTCGGATCATGTGGGCTTAGGGTGTGGCAAAATGAAGAGGAAAACCCAGGCATACAGCATTTTCATACACGCATGCATGGAGTCTGAGAAGGTTAGTCCACTCCTTCTTTACGATTGAATGGTGATCCTTCTCAAAATGAGCTGTCGGTCAAGTCCAGGTTAACATGTAATCGTCTTCGGGCTAACCCTTTGTTTCCTGTGCTTTTGGGCTACCCCGTATTTTAGCACTAGATCGCCCGAAGACTACTGGCTGGGGTGCTGTACTATGCCTGTCACTGACTAGAGCAGGGCATCTTAAATAGACAAAGATTTGAGAATGCTTGGGGTCCGTAGAGTGCTCAAGAAGTGTCTAACTCCTACAAGGTCTGCGAAAGCATCGCTAGGCTACTATGAAACTGTTGGTTCAGAATTCAGACTTTTGCTTCTGTGGACCGAAATGTTGCCCGTAGATCCTATCCTCAATGTTAGAGCTAATTACCGGACAGCCAGAATGGCACGCCAACTTTGGAACAACCAGAAAGAGACGCCTCATGTAGAGACATCCTGAACCCTGCAACAGAGTGCTAGCCCTAAACCCATGCCATGGCCACTGCATGGCACGTCCCTTGCTTGCTTTTTCCTTCAGTCACTGTAGCTCGATTGCCGACTGCCGTGCCAGGCTCTCACGCGCAAGGTCCCCAAAGCCGCATGCGCTGCGGAGTGTCTTGCTCATGTAGCCTTCAAAAGGTATCGGGACTGCTTTTGAGTTCTAGGACCTAGCATGTAGGGTTCGCGGTTTGTTGAACTGCGATTGCATCTCCCTAGTTCTCATGAACATCCATGAGAACAGCCTTCATGTATATAGAAATAAATATATATATACATATACATAAACATGCACACTGGCCATGTGCCCGTTCTCTGGGGGGAACAAGCTCTTATGACAAGCATTTGTCCAGGTATTATTCGGTTAGGACTTTTAACCCTGAACCCTAAACCCTGAACCCTAACCCCTTACCCCTAAACCCTGAACCCTAACCCCTAACCCCTAAACCCTGAACCCTAAACCCTAATCCGTAAACCCTGAACCCTTAACCCTAAACCCTAACCCCCTAAACCCTGAACCCCTAAGCCCTTAACAGAGCACAAAGTCGGCTTTCACGCTGGCCAAGGGACGGCCACCATAATGCTCGCAGTCGCCTGGGTTGCTGTTAAGTCACTTAAATCAAGTTACCATAACATGCGTATGCAAGTAAATAATAGGGTTTCCCCATCATAGTAAGAAATTACCTGAATGGGTATTGTTCCCCCTTTATACTTACTTTAAGAAGTTCCCAAACAGCAGCCGAGTCGCGCATTACGCACACGAACAACGTGGTGATGCACACGTCGTAGATTCCAGCTGCCAGCCGAGTAGTCACCTTCCAGCTCTGCTGACATTTCCACATGCAAGACATCCCGAAAGGGTCCATGTAGCTATATAGTTTAGGGTGTAGGGTAGCCATATAATATATACTTGGCCCCTAAAGTAGTTAGATGGGAAACCCTTTTGGGACCTAACTATTTACTATATACCTACATGGACCCTTTGAGATCGGTTTGGACTAGGGGTCGGCGCGGCTTGCTACTCCCAATGCCTCTCTAACTGATTTCTCGGAAATCTGAACCAAGGAGTTCTATGCTCCATGCCTGTGATCTATGACCTCTGCCAATTCAAAAGTCTGATCTCTGCTAATTATGCTAATTAAGAAGTGACCTTGCCCCAAAGTCCCCACTTCCCAGACACACCAATGAAAGCGCTGATAAACAAACATCAATGACGAGCAACGTGGAGAACAAGAGGGTGCTGTGACATGAGCACAGGTAAGTTGAATCTGAAGTGGCGAACCTGCGAACTGCAGAACAATGACCTTCACGTGCAACATAAGCAGAGTACATTGTGTCTACTGCCATCAGCAAGCATCGCTAGGGAGCAATATGAAAAACACAATGAAAACATGACTGCTAACATGGCATAAGGACCACGTCTGGCGCTTTGCTGCAAGCAGGTGGCGTAAGCGAGGGCAATGATCACCGCAGCGCAGGGTGGCCAATCCTGCCAATCTTTAAACATTGTGGCTTGGAGGGCCGTCGAAGATGCCCCGGCAAAATTTGCAACTCATTGGGGCATGTAGGTGTTCCTTCTGGGGGTCCACTACTATAGATGGACTTACTACAGGTTCATCTTCAGAAAAAGAAGGGGCGTTGGGGGCGCAGGCCCCCCATTTTTAATTGTCGTAGCTCTTGATGAGGAGGAGTACTTGCGGTCTCGTATCATTCGTATTCCTCGTACCAGTAATATTGTCCGAGTGTTTAGTGTGCTTCGTGTCATTAGTATTCTCATCATTATTACTCTTTTTAGTATGTTAAATATCAAGCCTGAAATTTTGATTGCCATCACTACTCGAGGCACTATTACCTACCGTGAACAATCTGATTACAACTATGATGACCAGGATGACGATGATTACTAGAGCTACTATGAGCATTACGCTTACTACGACTGCTGCGATGAATCAATCTACTATGACTGCTACTTCTTTGCTTCAGTATTCTTGGGTTCCCACGGTGGCGTATTGTGGACCAGAGGATCACAGGACCAGAGAGCCACAGGACCGGGGCATCGGAACAGCACGCTTCTCCGCTTCTCCTAAATCCTCTCAGCTACTTGCGCAGATTTGTTATTGATGCCTGTCTTCTCTTCTTGATGAATCGCAGTTTTTCCTGACGACGCAAAGCAATTTGTCTAAAAATCGCTGCGCGGACCCGGCCTAGCTTTTTCATGGCTCCCATAATTGCTCAGATTGCGGCAGGCTTGGGGTTCAGGGAACCACTTGCATGCATAGAGGGGAATCCTAATATTTGAGAATCGCAACGGGAACGTGGGGCAGGCTCAAAAAAGGTTGCTGTTAGGAACTGTAAAGATACCGAGAATGTAGCGATTGCAAAAGGTTTCTGGCGCCCGATCAGGATTTTTCAGTGGCAATTTTCGAGCAACTCCCACATTTTCTTTCCCCTGACACCATCGCTCATCTTCAAAAACCACGGGAGCACCGGACCCTTCTGCTGCCTACTAGCGCTGAAGGTATGAAAGCTCGGCGGCAGTCCCGTTGTCACCCCTACAGCAACAATCCCCGCCCCCCCTGCCCCCCCCCCCTGCATCAGTGCACTTGAGTCCTGACCCAAAGTCGGTTCCTCTACTGCCCCCTACACTGAAGGTTCCCCAAAATCAACGCTACTTAAAAATGGCCAGGGCTAATTAAGGCTGATGGGGGGGATAGAAAGAGGAACCCATGAAATTTGGGGAAGGGTCCCGAGACCCTCGTCCAGGGTAATCATTCTCCAAACAGGGGCCTATGGGGATATATAGGAAAAGACAAGAACATATTGTGATATAATACAATAGGTTATAGGTGTACGTGTACATACCGATGTATATATGTATATATGCTTTGGGTATAGTAGTCTCGGGATTAGGATGATGATAGTCATAGTGGAGAATCAAATGCCTAAAAATGGCACATGAAATCTTAACTGGATTCATATCGAGGAGATAAAGTTGGGGCCTAGAGAAAACCAACATCATCGTTGAGGTGCACTTCGGCCACCCTACACCACAATCATATGAGGAATCTGCGACCACAACAGTTTTGGTAGCTAGTCAGGGTTCTATATTATTCAAAACATCAAACTGTAATGCCAAAATCCGACTTTCCCATTTCTGAAACTCGACACTAGACAAATCTTAACTCCCACCTTCTCAGCCCTGATCCCATACCCACCAAGATGCCGGTGCTCTCCCCTAAACGCTAAACCCTAAACCGCGTCCTTTGTTTGGGAACTCCGGATTTCTGGTTGGTGCAACAGAGGTTCCTGGGTTGTACCCCCAAGGTCGTACCCCTAAAAGGTTTCCCCAATATAGCCCTAACGTAGCCCTAATAATATGAGCCAATGTAATCCCTTAGAGTCCTTTAAAAGGATCCGAAAACCCAGAGGCACAACCCTGAAGCCCATGAGTGTATGGGGAGCTAAAACCCTAACTCTCCAAACCCAACTAGCCGTGAACCTTTTTGCACCTGGACATCGCACACAACCAGCCCTATACAACCCGAAGCCCTAAAAAATGGCCCGAACCCCAAATAAACACGTACATGACTGTTTTCATGTTCTTTTCCATTATCCCTGTATACGATTATCTCTAAATGACCCCTATTTAACCCCTAGATAACCCATTATAATTCCCTGCCTGTGAAAGCCAAGGGAAAGCTACCACTGCTAGGCCAAGCGGTACTGTGACGCAGAGCAAGTATCCGAGGGCCTGGTTCAGGGTTAGGAAACTATAGGGATAATGTAGGACAATATAGGGCTATATAGGTTCATATAGGAATAGTGGAAGAGAAAAATAGAAACCACTATTTCAGGGTTTAGGATAGGGACTGGTTTAGAGCTGGAGATTTTGGGGTGGGGCTGAGCTAGGGCTGCGAGATTAAGCAACTCGTCGCCCGAACAGCAATGTTCCGGGAGTCTCTGCTGAGCAAGCAGGTCCCACACGAGTTGTGGAGGTGGGGTTGGGTGAGGTCATTGCCAAGCTACTTCCCAGTCAGTGTCAATGAAAAAGCTACTAGTGGGCTGGGGAAACTACTTCTGTTGAGTTGCTGCGGGTAAAGCTGCTACTTATTCTGATACGGGCTCCACAGGTTTTCATGCAAAACGGCTGAAGGTGTCGGGCTTAGATTGATTCAGGGTTTAGCGCAGTATTGGCATTGCCGTTCTGGGTATAGGTCCGCTCCACGGAAGAGGTGGCGATGTTTGTGCTGGCTCCATCATTGCCCCTAATCGAGACCAGCAGCCCTATGTCGAACGGATGTAGCAACTCGCACTCCATATAACAAAAGAAGATTCAGCTGTCAAAGCAACGACTGCCTTGTGAACATGCCATTCAAAGATTGTATAGCACGTTGATTCGTGCACCTAAGACATAAATAACCCAGCTGTCTTTTGGCCAAGGAACAGCTGATGCCATCTTGTCCATGGCCGTTTGAACCTCAACTAGCAGTTTTCGTAGAGAGGACGAAGGTCGTCCACCAAAAAAAGAAACCCCGATTGCTTATAATAGCAAGTCTCAAAAACGGACGCCTAATTTGGGACACACCCTCTGTAACCAATTGAAAGGGGTGGTCTTCGTGGGGCCCCAAGAGGGTTCGACCTTGGTTTGGTGGGTTGGATACCGAACTGTTGCGCAAAGCCCGTCTGTTACTTGGTAGCATTGAAACGCATTGCAGATTTCCAATTTGGCAGGGTTCTCTCTTCACAAGGGCCTGAAATGCAGCTTACGTTTCGCAAGACTTGTTTCCATGTTGAAGACCCCTAAATAGGGACAACAGTCTTCCCCTTCCCTGGTGAGCCATATGCGTCAGGGCGCTGGGTACTTGGCGAAGAAGACGAAGGATGCGTGAGCTGAGGAGCAGAATGTCTTCCCAGTCACGGCGACGTAAACCTGATAATTATGCGTTTCTGCGTTTCGGAAATAATGACCCAGCCCAAGACAGGCTATGGCACTTGCGCTTGCTTAGGCAAAGTCAAGAAGAAGAAACCTAGAATGCCATAGACATCAAAAGCGGTACGTGGCCCCCGTGGCTAATTTGTCTCGCCATCCACGATATCGGTAAAGTCCTTGAAGCAATGTCAGCATCTATGCGGCAGGCAGGACGCGGCAATCCTATTACTATTACTACTACGACTACTATTAGCATGACTAGTACTGTTACTACTATTACTATTACTGGTAATGTTACTGTTGCTAATTATTAGTAATGCTGTTATCATTGCTAGTACTATTACCGTTATTACATTTGCTAAGCAAGGTTCTGCCGTAGATTGACCCTTTCAGGCTTTACAAGCTTGACCAGACTACCGGCCTCCAGGACCCCGAACACACCGAATATTCCTCCAAGCAGTTGATGATGCAGGTTCAGGGCCACACGGGATGCCTGAAGCCCCAAAATTCCCAAACCTTGATGTAATGGATTTTCCAATTTAACCTAGGATGTAGCCTGGGACTGAGGCACCGGCCCGAACTGCGATATGATCTAGTTAATACATCTGCTGGGCTTCTGTTAAGGAACTTAATAGCTACTATATTGGGGAAACCCTATTATTTAATGTATATAGCCATCATGGTAACTTAATTTCCTTAACAGCAACCCAGTCTAAGGCAATAATCCGCAAGCCCAGAGAGTCGAACACCAAGATCCTACAGCCCGAAAGCAAACAAACATGAGCCCTTAGCACCATCCCTTACCCTGTAGTCCCCTTAGACCTACACTAAAGATGATATTGCTGATTCTTTTAAGGGGGGTCAGGGGTTAGTGTTTTAGGGTGATACCACACTAAAGATTAGAAATGATTCCTAAAGAGACTACAATACCCTTGGGACCTCATCAGGTAGGAACCTTAAAGGAACCGTAGAAACTGGGCGCATGTATGCATTCAAAGGGGATAATTGGACCATTCATTAACGAGTATACCTTGAGTCATACAAATGATCTCTGTATGATTCAACCCTTAACCCTACACCCTGAATCCTGAACCTCAGACCGTTCTTTGTTTGAGGGCTAAGGGTAGTATGCTTACGGTGAACTCCCTTCACTGAGGGGCATTTCTTCCCGCCGTGGGTTAAACATATGTTCCATTCAAAGCCCGAATCCCTAAACCCAAAGCCTTGAACCGTGTCCTTACGTACTGGTTGGCAACCGGGAATATGGAGAAATGTCCCTATATAACCAAAGTAATAGATAGCAGATTCCTTTTCCCTTGCTTTCTTGGATCTCCCATGAACAACCAGCAAGCGCAGGCCAAAGAAGCGTAGGCATACTCGGTGATGAACTGCAAGCAGCGCTCGAGACACCTGTGCTTGCAAGAAATCACGTAAACAGACTTCTGACATGAAGTGCATATGGGGCGCACCAAATCTTATGGTCAGCATCTGTCTATAGCAAGTTACGTGTGAAGACAGAGGTGCGAAGGAACGATGTGGGTATTTCGTCGCGCATTTGTTATCGCAATCACCTTCATCACTCCCACCTGCGATCCTGAATCCCTTCCAAAAAATTCCAAGATAAGTGCACTGCTACTGGCTGCAAAAAGTCGGCAGACATTAGAGCTAACACTTCAACCCCTAGCCCAACACCCTAAAGCCTAGCTCCCTCACACACGTGCCAAGGCTCCAGAGACAGCAGCGGCAAGCACAGACTGCAGCTTTAACAACAGGGTTCGTCTCCTCTAGACTGCTGTTTCTCATCGTTGCCGGCTGTTACACAGCTACCTTCTTCGGTACGGACATCATCCCAGTTGCTTAGCTGTCTGACTGAAAGCTCCAGGGTGCTTCGGGGTGACAAGATTAAGTCTGCTATAGTCTAAACTCCTAGAAGCCTCCTTAATACTCCGTATATTCCTCCCCTATAAAAATTGGCCCTGCAAACAAAAGGCTATCGTTGTGGGTATCTAGGCGTTTGAGGACATCTTTTCAAAGTTCAAGGATTACAAGTTAAGCAAGGGATTCCCCAAACCCTAAGCCGCATGTTGGTGGGTCAATGCAGCCGCCAGAAAACCTAAAGAGCAACACCTTTCCCGGAAACCCTGCAACCAAGAGTAGCGACTACATGGGTACTGTTGGTACTGAGCGTTGCCTAATCATCCTCAAAAGACAAAGCGCTGTGAGAGTCCCATGAGAATTATCGTCGATGTCTCTAAACCCCACCTTTATAAAGCCACAAGATGTTGACCTCATGGGGCTCTCTGAGCTAAGTCTCTTGAACAGACGTCCCCAGGAGTCCAGGACCCTAAAAACCGAAATTCTAGAATTAGTAGCGTTTTTTGGGTGGTTGAAGCCAGTAAGATAACATTTATTATATGAAATACTATACCTAAAAGCAGGAAATAATCTTACACTCTCTATATTCGGTACCATAGTGTCAAAAATACTGCTCAAATTGGCTTAGAGGGCTTATAAAGACCCTTGACTCAGGCTCGGTCTCGGGGCTCTGCACTTTGGGATATTGGGCTTTGGACCCCTAAATCCAAACTTCAACAGCCTAAGGTGACTCGCCACCGACGTGCAAACCTGGCACCCTAAAGGCCCTATACCCTTTGAAGCCCATGAGTCCTCATCTTAGGTTGGGCAAATACCCACAGGGTGACTGTAAGCAATAGGGTGCTTTTCTTCCCAAACTCGCAGGACAACCGTGGGCTCCCCCACGGAAATATGCGCCACCCGAACTAGCAAGGCTTCATAAAGCTTAAGAAGCGCTAATAACCTCTAGCACCCAAAGAAACCGGAGGTCTCCTGGTCTTTCGTTTTTGCAGCAACATACTCAAAGATGAGTCCTGGAGCCGCGAGTTTACTTGGCCTGGATCAATCACCTCCCCCTTGTGAATGGAACTATGTTTGGGGGGCTTTCTAGTCCCCCTTGCATATAACGGTAGTATATTCAGGGGACATATTGGTGGGGGTGCAAGGGGGTTTATTGTTTGGTGTTTGGGGGGGCTGTTATTGAAGGAGAGGATGGGATTTGTAAACTTCAGGGTTTAGCGTTCGAGGAACGATACTTTTGGTTTCCAGGATATTTTAAACAGGGAGGGAATCCGCTAAAATGAACGGGGCGCAACTTTAAGTACTACCTCAGGTTAGGCAGCAGCTTGCCTCTCAGCGAGTGTGGGAGAACCTGCCCGATATAACCGAAAATAACCCTAATGGTATAGCCCTAATAACCCCCTGTATATATATGTAAGTATACAATATTATAATATATATATATATACAAATGTACATATATATATATACACACACCCCTATAACCCCTTCAAGTGTCAGAGCACGCAAGTGATGGTCCCTCATGTTGTGGTCGTGGGCACAGGAAGCTGTCAAACCCAAGAAGCGCAGGCGCACTTGAAAACAAAAAGCGGTGTGGCGCACACAGGACTATGCGTGACCAGTCCAGTAGAATATAAGTGTAAAATGGTAGACAGACACTTGAAGTATACTGCAAGGATCAATTCATTTCGCTACAAAGCTATGCTCCCTGAATGCTAACAGAACCAAGACAACAAGTTCAAGCAGCACTCAAATTTTGATGTGGAAGGATTTCTCAAGCGGATGGGTCAGGGACTCCTATGATCAATACAATTTCCCCCCAGATGGTCCTTTGGTTTAGGATCCCACCCCTCTTCTCCTGAAATCCCAACATGTAACTAGGGTCTCAAGACTCGTCCCTAAACCCTTAACCCCAAACCCTAATCCCTAAACCCTAATCCCTAAACCCTAAAACCCCCATCTGACGCATTGAAAATGCATTCTGCGTTCAGCGCTAAAGCTGGGCACTTCCGCACCCAGCCATGTTTCGAAAGGCTTAGGGTTTAGGGTTTAGGGTTGAGGGGCCCAACTGCATGAGCATAATTCACCCCTGGGCCCGAAAGGAGTTCCTGCTCAGATACTTCGGGGCCTAAGTATAGGTATACCATGTACGGCACTGGAAGGTTGCCTGAACCCAATTCCAGGGACCCATATTATTACGACTCACATGCTTCAGTTCCGTACATATGTACATACATATGTAGATGTAGGCAAAAGTATCATGTGCCGTATATGCACGCGCAGATACACCCAGCCATTTGGGTGGTTATCAAAATTATGGTCCCTTCTTGGGGTACCCTAAATATTAGGGGCCGTATTATAATAGGGACCAAAAAGGGACCATGATTTTGACAACCACCCATTTGACTTCTTGCAGTCCGAGGCTCGAAGCATAGTGGCAGTGGCCATGATACCTCAGCGGGTGTCCGCCATCAAAATCAGTGAATGCCCTAATGCCCTAGGGGATCCAGGTCTACAAATAATGGGTTTAGAGTTAGGGTTTAGGGTGGATTTGGGGATCCAAGTGTACAAATAATGCCAGTATATGGAGAATCAAATGGAAAAGAAAACGGAAGACAAAATGGAATCTGGGGTTATATAAGAGTTATGAGAGATCGAAGTATACAACTAATACCTACATTGGGCCCTGAGGTCTGTAATACCTACATTGGGCTACTTGGATTCCCATAGTGAAGGTCCTGAAGCACTGCAAACCATGCACCCTAAACCCTAAACCCGTTATAATGAAGGGCTCTAAGATGCCCCCTCAACGAGACAAACGTGAGGATACAAGTTTGGAAGGTCGCCAGACAAGCTTTGAAGTAAGCCGCCACTTTGAGGACTTAGGGTTTAGGGTTTAGGGGTTTAGAGTTTTTGGTTTAGGGCCTTGGGGTTTTGATTTAGGGGTTAGCGGCGATGCAAGAAGTAGATACTGAGGATGCAAAGCTGCAACATTAATGAGAAAAGAATGCACAATATTCTTTTGGCTTACAAGCTACTGGAAATAGCAAGCTTCACCCCGAGGTAGGGCTTGATTCTGTCCCGACGCTTGCCAGTTTCTAGAAAGGACAATCCCTTCTTCCTAC